AAACAATTTTTAACTAATTAGTAAACTTGAGGTCATCTTAAAACTTCCGCCATTACAGTAAGCTTACACAGTAAAGGTAAGGTAAGCTTACAAGGAGAGAAATAGATGGTAAGAATTTATGATCTTAAGATGGTAAAAAGTAGATGTTATCCGGTACTATCATTATGCTACTCGGTACTTTCAAAGATGTTACAAAAAGTATGGTTATGTTACCCACTACAATCAAGATGTTACTCCGTACAATCTGGATTGTTACTGATAGAATCTAGATTGCTGTCCGTATATGTAAGATCAAATATGGTACCTGGTACTATCTAGATAGTACCCCGTACCATCTATTTCTCTCCGTGATACACAGTAAGGTCGTGGTAAGTTTACATGGTAAGGTTGTGGTAAGTTTACATGGTAAGGTTGTGGTAAGCTTACACGGTAAGGTTATTGTAAGCTTCCCGTAAGGTTACTGTAAGCTTCCCGTAAGGTTACTGTAAGGTTACTGTAAACATAGAATGTTATTAATAAATAAATTTTATTAATATTTATGCGCAGTAGTTTTCTGTGGCACATACGGCTACGCAGTAAATTTTATTTAACAAACCCTATTGGGGTTCATGAAGTACTTTACCAAATATATAATTTTTTATAAAAAAAAATTTATAATATAATATATATATATTATAATGTAATTATTTTTAATATATTTTCATATTACTTTATGTTCACAGTAACCTTACAGCAACCTTACAGTAACCTTACGGGAAGCTTACCTTACCCTTACCGTGTAAGATTACCACAACCTTACCATGTAAACTTACCACGACCTTACTGTGTAAGCTTACCTTAGCTTTACTGTTTAAGCTTACTGTAATGGCGGAAGTTTTAAGATGACCTCAAGTTTACTGTAGGCTTACACGGTAACCTTACAAACCCTACAATATCCTTACAGAAACCTCACAGCAAGAAGTCGTGCTATGTGAGTAGCAGGAAGTTAGAAAATAGTTTTTTCTTTTTCTCCGTTTATTGCGGATGATTTTATATATAATCCTTGATCCGAAGGGAAATAATAATAAATAATAATATAATATACATATAAATATAACAAAAAATTTTATTATATTTCAGTTTTAATAATTAATTTTTTTAATCTTGGCTGGAGTCTGATTTTTTGCACTTTTGAATATTGGTTGAATATATTGGGCCAATATTGAAATTCGAGCCTTGGCATTGGTCTCTACACTCCCAGACTTGGCCCAATATTGGCTAAAATAATGGACCAAGATTGGCAAAAGTGCTCCTAATATTGGACTAATATTCAGCCAATCGTGCTTTTCCCACTGGGTATAAACATCTATTTACCTTTCAAAATGCATTTTTCTTTCATATCTAGTCGATTTATCAAGTCTTTATTAAAGATACTAAAAGTTAACCGAAACTTAACCCAGCTGTGTTAACGTAAAGAAAGTTAATATCAAATTATATAAAAGTATTTTATAATTTTAGGACAAAATGCGACAAAGCGAAATTTTGATATCAGAAGTACTAAACTTAAAAAAAAACTTATATGAAATTTAGTAAAATTATATTAAAATATGTTAAACGTATTTGATATAACTTTACTAAATTTCATATAAGTTTTTTTTAAGTTTAGTATTTCTAATATCAAAATTACGCTTTGGGTTGCATTTTGTCCTACAATTGAAAAATACTTTTGTAAAATTTAATACTAACTTTTTTTACTTGTGGTTGTTATATTGTATGAATCAGTTATTTTCACTGATTACACAGGTCTACAAGGTATTTTTTTGAGATATCACAGTGGTTTTTAAGAGCATTTGAACCTTCGTGACGTCACAAATCATGGCGCATGACACGCAAACTTCTCAGGTATGTGAAAAACACAATTTTGAATATTTTTTAAAAAAACCTTTTGGAAAATGTTCAGAATAACATAGACTCTGTCTGTTATATGCGGAAAATTCAAAATTTTGCGTTTAAAACGTTTTTTAAACAATGTTTAAGTTGGTTGTCACAAGTAAGGAAAAATACACGAATTGCTTATATGTAGGCCATTTTTGGAACTGAAACATTGTTTAAAAAACGTTTTAAACGCAAAATTTTGAATTTTTCGCATATAACAGACAGAGTCTGTGTTATTCTGAATATTTTCCAAAATGTTTTTTTAAAAAATATTCAAAATTGTGCTTTTCACATACCTGAGAAGTTTGCGTGTCATGCGCCATGATTTGACAACCAACTTAAACATTGTTTAAAAAACGTTTTAAACGCAAAATTTTGAATTTTCCGCATATAACAGACAGAGTCTATGTTATTCTGAACATTTTCCAAAAGGTTTTTTTAAAAAATATTCAAAATTGAGCTGTTCGGAAGAAGAACTCGCTCTTCGCTCGGAAGGGACAATTTCATAGCAGTTGTAGGCATAAAAATAGGAAAAAAAAAATTTCTAAATTTTTATTTTTAAAAAGTACTACCTTGTATAAAATATTAAAGCGCATCTTTTTTTTCTTTGAAATTTTTTTGTAGAGCGAATATTTTAGTTAATAATAACAAAAAACTGACAAATTTTAATTCTTAAATTTCATTCAATTTTAAAACATAAATTGTCATATCTTCGACAATTATTAATAAAATTACTTTAGAATTGATATCCTAACACATTGAAGTATAGAGAAAAGGATAATATAATAAGAATGTTCGAAATCATCATTTGTTTAATAATTTTTAATTGTTATTTAAGGGCATATTGATAATCATGTTTTCTTACCTTTGCCGACAAAAAGTCTGCGGGGAAGTTCCGAGTTTCAAGAACTTCCAGTGAGACATTTGTTTATCAATGTGTAATAAAGTTTTTTGTAAATTTACAAAACGATTTATTAAATAGTTTAAAAAATATTGAAGTTTTAAAGAAACGCGTGCAGCCGCATATCACATCGCCATGTAGAGTAGAGTCTTATTACGCTCTCAGGGCGTGAAAACATCATCTTCCCATTACTTTTCAATAATATTATTTGTTATTTTCATAATATTGTTAATTAAATTGTTTAAAATTATGAACAATTAATAAAAAATTAATTAACAACATTATTAAAAATAATTAAAAAAATTTTTAAATATGTATATATTGTATCTAAATGTTTTCAGTATTTTTTTCTCCTTAACCTTACGTGATAGAGACTTCTATATAGGCTTAAATTAAAGCTTATATCTTATATATACACTTTAAGATTCATATGCGCAAGATAAAAATAATTTGAAATTTAAAAAAAATTAGATTCAACTCACCCAAAAAGATTATTGGGGTCATTACCTCCATTTTTTCAAAATTTCAAATTATTTTTTATTACGCGCAAATGGATCTTAAAATATACGTTTTAAACTTTCATTTAAGCCTATATATAGAAGTCTCTAGCACGTCAGGTTAAAGAGAAAAAAAATACTGAAAACCCTCATACACACATTTTTGGGAGTCTTTACACCAATTTTTTTCAAAATTTTTTTTGTCTTGCACAAACGCGGGTCTTAAAGTGAACAATTTAAGGTTTAATTTAAGCCTATATAGAAGTCTCTAGCACGTCAGATTAAGGAAAAAAAATACTGAAAACCTTTACCTTAAAAACACGGTTTTTAGGGTGTTTACCCCCATTTTTTTTAAATTAAAAATTTTTTTTAATCTTGCGTATATTGGTCTTAAAGTGTATGATCTAAGCTTTAATTTAAGCCTAATATATAGAAGTGTCTAGCATGTCGGGATAAGGAGAAAAAAATGAAAACCATCAAAAACACTGTTTTTGGAGACTTTACCCTCTCTTTACTCAAAATCCTGACGTGATACGCAACTTTGGAACCCAGGATCGTGTTCAGCACACAAAAATACATTTGAAACTACTCTGACACCAAAAAAAAGTCTTATTTTGTAGACCTGCGTGTTATCAATGATTTGTACTGAGAATTAGTGAAAATCATTGGTTTAATCAGTGAGAAGTGAGTTACTAATTAAAATCAGTGAAGATTCTCACTGATTCAGATTTAGAGAGCAGATATATGATAACAATAAATATATGTTATAAATATTTTTAAATATTGAAAACTTATATTTTAAAAATCTGAAATATTCCGCATTGTAACGACTTTATTTTTAAATAAAATGGTTATGTTTTTATAAACTAACATATTTTGCTGTGCATTAAAATTGTGCGAATTATGTAAAGGTATATATATATAAATAGTTTTGGGCAATATAATTAATTTTTTACATAGTAATATTAAAAGCAAAGAGTCAGAGATTATATATTTTCAATATGAATGATTGTTACCAAAAATTTTGTTAGTTTGAAAATTTGAGCGAAATAACCCCGTTTTGCGGTATTATTATTATTTTAAATTATGCTTGCTTAACACAGAAACTAATTTGAATTGTCTAAGAATAACTTTCCGTTATCGTGAGCTTGTAAGAATTTAATAAAAACTAAGTTAAAAATGAAATGGTAATTTAAAATAAATTTGGTTTTATTTTTAGAATAATAAAAGCATGTGGAAATAAATAGAAAAAAGAAGGAAAAAAGAGATTTATCAAAACGCCTGATTATATTAATATCGAGATAGAAAAAGAGTTAATGTTGGATAAAAATTTGCATTAGCTTAATGCTGCTTATTCTCATATAATTAACAAGTCCAGTTTCATGCAGTTTCACCTGTGCTTACAATAGTCTGTCTTTGTATTAAACAGAGTTTTCTAAGTATGTATACGTAGATATAGATAGCACAGATCTTGCATATATACGAGAAATGACATTTGTGTTGTATCGACATCATCGCAAAAGTAGAGTGAGGCAGGGGCCACCCACTCTTTCCCACAGCAGGTTTTTCCCACGCCCTCCATGGTAACCCCAACATCCTTTTGCGGCAGCAATTCCACGATGGGTGAGAAGGGAAGCTTCACTGTCTAGTATCCGCGGTGGAGGGGACAATTTTGAGTGGTGGGAAGAAAGAATGGGATTGAGAGGTAAGGGAAGATCACTCGGTATGACTCGATCTTACTCGCTCTAAGAGTGTGTTGCTTTCGTTCGGAGAGTCGTGTAATATTTTTCGGTTCGACTTCGCCATTGTACAAATAGGCAAGAGGAAAACAATAGAAACTATTGCATTTATATGCGATCGCAATAACCACTTGGTCTCTTTTCGTCGCCCTGGCGATTATGTTTAAAGCGGGATTGTGTTTATTTCTGCAAAGTCGCGCCCTCTTCCTTGACGTTACTGTTGCCAAAAGCAAACAATTTCATCTCTCATTTTTAGAATCTACTTGTTTGTGTAAATTTTGATTGTTCCCGCGAACGCAGTGCCAACATTGATAATCTCAGGGAGTCTACTACTAAAATGGATGTTTATATGTGTGGAGGATTTAAAGTTCAAACTATCGCGCACGTGCAATATTTGCAGGCAGCTAATATGTTGGTATGACTGTTCGGAAAATTCAGAAAGTGAACAGGTGTTTTTTGAATGGAAATGGATTAGTTGCAGCCAAGCAAGAATTGACTAACTGCACCGATTTTCTTCTCAATATTGTATATGGAAATGCAAGGAGATTAATCTTTGTAATGAGTTACTCAGAAACAGGAGGAAGTAATTTCGATTCCAGTGAAATGGATATAATGGGAAAGTGCAACAGAAACTATCAGTCTAAGGTAAAGATTTTTTTATTTTTAATTCTTTTTTCAATGTCAATATGTAATCTTATTCTGTTACGAGTGATTTATCAAAAGCTGTTCAATTTATGTGAGCTAGGGGTTTCTTAACCTCTGATATACGATTAACTTTTTCGGACATTCAATTCTTTCTATTAATGATTTTACAACTAAGTTTAGTCATTTGCATATTAAGAATGCAGAGTTACATTAGATTTATCAATTTCTTGGAAAATTAAAACAAAAAATGCTTTCTATTAAATTCAATAATTATTAAATAAAATATAGTCTAACTTATAAAAAACATTTTTACTTGAAAACCTTTTTTAATTTTTTCAAACAATTTCTAGTTAAAAAATCAAAAACTGTGGTATCATTGAATTTGACAGAAACATAACCTAAAAATTTTATTTTTTGGGGGGATGTTATAAAAACTTAAAAATCAAATCATCGAATGACTAGTTTTAAGAATTTCCTTTCCTTGTATTTTTTAGTTAAAAATTTTAATTTTTACTTCGCAATAGTAAAGTTAGAAATTTTCAATTTGCGTGCATTTTTTGTTTATTTAATAATTCATGTTGTTAATTTATTTATCTTGATTTACGACGTGACTGATGTTTATTTAAAATGCAAATAATTGTATTCTTTGTTTGACTAAAGTGACATTTTCTGTAATTTTTAATTATTCTAACTGAATATTTATATTATCGAATTGGAATATTAATTTAATTTTTATCCTTCTTTATTTTTGTTCAAGGGTCATGTTGTAGTCTACCCTAACCTCAAATGTTTGTAAGAACACCGTAAATGCTGTTAAGTATTTTTGATAACGTTTTTTTTAAATAGTTTCTCTTAGGGTTCAAATCAAAGATAAGCAGTAATACTCGCGGAAAATACGAGAATCATTGTTGGTAAACAACAAATCTGACAGAAAAATACTAGCAGAAGCACTAATATTTTAGAATATATAATCCAATTCCTGAACAGCGGAACAATGCGACGCGCGAAATTTTGAAATCTAATACTAAGAAGAATTGTATCTGCAAAATCGTGGCCAACATATAAACTAATTGTCAAAAATTATTATTCGAATATTTTTTTATTTTCTTAATAATACATAGAAACATAAATAATAATAAACTAATCAAAAATAATGTTTATGTTTATTATATTAATGTTATTGCGTTGTTGTTAATCAATTATTCATATTTTGGCCAGCTTATCATTTCTGTTATTATAGAATTTTTTTTCTAATTAAAATTAAAATCATAATTTAACTTTCAAGTATGATAGTCAAGAATGAAATATCTGTAATGGGCCGGACAAATTGTTCATAATTTTTGTATATTTTAAACAAATTAGATGTAAATGCATCCATGTAATATAAAGAGCTATTGTGATACTTAATAAAAATTTGAAATAATTTTTAATATTATAACAAACAAAATTTAAAAATGAAACATATAGTTTTGGAAATTTATGCGGTTCTGATTTGATTTTTATGAAATATTTCAATTTTTTAAAACGCTTCCCCATGATGCACAAAACTGGGGACAAGAATTAACATCGAAAAAAAGCTAAAAAAATAAATTTTTTTCCTAAACTCTAGAAACTTGGACAATAAAAAACGTTACCAATAATTATTTTTATTATTGTATATTGTAAAAAATATTTAATTTTGTTTCGTAAATGACACTGTGGACAGGCTTCCCCATGACAGTTTGGATCTTTAATTTGCATTTTAAAAATAATATTTAATTTTATAAATTAAAGTGGCTATAGGCTTTATGTTTGTAAACACTAAAGTTACTTTTTCACGTTGGATTAATTACAATACATACAATTTATTTCTTAAAAAACACAAGGGACATGGAGTTGTACACTTCTTGGAGAATCACTATATACACTTCTAGTACCAAACTTTAAAATTTTACAAGTGGATATATAAAGCGTAGTGTCTTCAAAAAGTTATTATTAATTATTTAAAAATACAAATTTTTAATAACATGTAACAAAAAAAATCCAACAGATGATTGCTTGTTACGTTAAAAAATGATTAAAATTAGTTTACTTACACTGCAAAAAGAAGTATCTTATTTTAAGATGTTTTGGTAGCATTTTAAAGACATTAAGATATCTTGATGTCTTGAAAACGCTACCAAAACATCTTAAAATAAGATACTTCTTTTGCAGTGTAGCTCTTAAATTTTCCAGTTTCTTTTCCCGTTATTCTTTATCAATTTTTTTTCATCACAGTTACTATAAAAAAATTGCATTTCACATAATTAGCAACTTCATACATACTTATAAAAATGCCTTTCTAACGAATTAATAATTATAAGACTTTTTGCATCATCTCTGCAATAAACTATTTTTTCTTGAAGCACATTTACAAATCATTAAATAGCAACCGTGGAAATATATATGTAAGCACTTTTGAAATACTTTTATTCAAATTTCGCGGAGTATCACTCGTATTACTGTCATTTTCAAATATTGTACAAACATGTACAAGGTCAGTCAAGGAAAAGTCAGGAAATATCAGAGAATTTTATTCAAAGTCAGGGAAATTTCTATAAATTTATACAAAAATTAAAATTTTCTGTGAATTAAAAAAATTTGTTAATCGACCAAGACTTAAATTATGATTTTTATCACCATTTTTATTATTTCATTAGAAATTAAATTATTGTTGAATATGTCAGTAACCATATTTTTGTCCCAAAAAGGCAGAAATAAGGTAAATAAAAAGTCAAAAAATGTCAGGGAATTTTTTTCTCAATCCTTGTTAAACACCCTGTTATTGAAAAATTTAATTATTTAATTCAGGCGTACTTGCGTTTGCGAAGACGAAAAATAGGCACCTCTTTACAATTTTTTTTCACAGACATTTTAATTAAAAAGTTAAAAGCTTTTTTTACTCCTTAAAAAACATTATTAAAATTACAGAAAGCAATTTTTTTTGTTTTTTCATTGTTAATTACGATTTGTAAAGGGCGCCAAAATATAGGTCTAAAATTTGTAAAGTTTTGCGGTACCCCCTGTAGAGCCGCTCCTGACAGTCGAAAATCAAAAAACCAAAAAATTTTTTAGTTTACGTGAATACCAAGTGGACTAATATCATGGAATTAAAAAAAATAAAAAATTAAATCAAAATTTAAAAAATCACTTTTTTTTACAATTTTTGGCTGTAAAAAAATGTAAAAAAAATTTAATTTTCAAAGCTTTGATAACACTGTGTTACAAAAAAAATTAAAAAACACTTTTTATCGAACCTACTACAGGTTGTAGGTAACGAAAAACTAAGAAGAATGGTATATTAAAAATTTCCCTAACACCCCCAAATTTTAATTTTAGACCCAAAACACCGTTTTCACGTATATTTATGACTAAAACCCTTGGAACTTTTTTATTTTTCCACCGATTTAAAAGTTTTTTTTCATTTTGAAGCTAAAAAGCAGGGCTTTTCAACCCACATAGAGTTTTTTTGTTAAAAGTAATATTTACAAGAGAAAAGTTACAAGAAAGTTTAGAAATTGTCAGTTTTTCCTCAATTTTACAACTTTAACTGATGTTTACCGCATTAATTATGTTTTAAACATTTTTTTTCTTCATGTAATATTCAAGCGTACTAAATTGTGCGTCGAACGAGCCCTATTTGAATAGTTTTCTTTAAAAATTGACTGATTTATTGCAGTTTTTCTATTTCAAAGTCCAGTAGCAAATTTAAGTATTTGTCAGTTTTCCTTAATTTTTTATTCTTAATTGTTTTATGTAAAGTGCTTCTGAAGTTTTGACCATAATTAATAGTAAATATTGATTTTATTTTCCATATAAGAAAAACGTAGCTAGCCTCAAAAATAAAATTACAACATATTTTACAAATATACTTTTTGTCAAGAATGTTTTTATTGCTAATAAAATTCAACTTAAATTTTTAATATTAATTACTGAATTAAAAAAATATCCGAAAATTCAAATTATTTTGAAATTAGAAGTGTTTATTTAGCCTTTTTATTTTCATCTTCCAATCGTCCAGCAATATGCAGAGTGTCACCTATTCACCTTTTTTCACCTATTTCAATGATTTGTCACCTTTTTCACCTTTTTTCAGTTATTGAAGGAATTTTTCTTCCTCGTAGAAAGTTTTATAGTGATGACAATTTTCGAACTTCCTAAAATCAATTATTTCAATAAATTTTTAACTATAGTTATATTTCGACATGAGGAACAAATGTCCGGATGTGTGTATGTGTGCGGATGTGGATGTGTGTGTGTGTATGGCACCGCTTCTTGTGCATTTTTACCTCAAAAAATATTGAGATGTCCTTTAATGTTATTTTTGAAATATTAGTTAAGTAATTAATTATTAAAGTCAATAAAAAATGAGATATTTTAAAAACAAATAAAGTTATCGTAATTCTGACGTTACTTAATGAAAGTTGACAGAATTCCGCTTCCAACGAGCCCTATATGAAGTACTTTGGATTATTATATTGTTAATAAACAATTGGCTAACATGGCAATTGTTTATAAAAAATCATCGAATCCAAAATAGTCCATATAAGGCTCGTTGGATGCGGAATTACGTCAGCTTTGATTTGGTACCTTCAGAATTACAATAGCTTTATTTATTTGTGAAATATTTCATTTTTGGATCAATCCATTATATTTCGACTGAAGTCGTCGCTGACTAATTTTTAAAAATTATAATACTTTGCAGGAATGATTTTGAAGTTATCAAGATCACGAAATGAAAAGGATTTTATTAAAATTTTAATTATTTATTGCAAAATATGAATTTAAAGTATATGAGGTGCTGAAAACTGTCAATTTTTTAGCCATTAGAAAATATGCAAAAATACGTAGAATTTACCATAAAAATAAAAAAAAATTGTTGTAATTTACTAAGAATGAATAAATTTATCATTATCAATTGATATAATTATTTAAATATGTGAAATAATATATAAAATATGATTTTGAAGTTCGCCTGTCAAATAACCTAAGTTTGCAAATTTCATCTATTAAATGTGAGAAAGAGAAGTCATTAAATTGAAAAAAACCTTACCAAATATAAAGTACCTGTGACTAACTTTTAGTTTTTCTTAGCACTTTTTTCCTTTTTTCTTCATAAATGTGAAATAAAAAGCAATAAAAATTGGCACTTTGCTTATTTTCACTGTTTTCAAATGTAAATAACTTTCTTGGAGAAAACTGAAAAATTACAAAACTTGGGCAATATCTAATTGATCACTAAATACACACACTGGAAAAAAATTCGCTTTGGTCCCGAAGATACTTTTTGAGATAATTAAGTTTAAACTTTTCACAATTTTTATCAGGTTAATACATGTGGTTTTTTAAGGACGAAGTTACGTTTTATTGGTTAAACATTTTGAACTAACTTCAATTTTATAAAAATCACATGCATTAACCTCATAAAAATTGTGAAAAATTTAAACTTAATTATCTCAAAAAGTATCTTCGGGACCAAAGAGAATTTTTTTCCAGTGTGTGTATTTAGTGATCAATTAGATATTGCCCAAGTTTTGTAATTTTTCAGTTTTCTCCAAGAAAGTTATTTACATTTGAAAATAGTGAAAATAAGCAAAGTGCCAATTTTTATTGCTTTTTATTTCACATTTATGAAGAAAAAAGAAAAAAAGTGCTAAGAAAAACTAAAAGTTAGTCACAGGTACTTTATATTTGGTAAGGTTTTTTTCAATTTAATGACTTCTCTTTCTCACATTTAATAGATGAAATTTGCAAAATTAGGTTATTTGACAGGCGAACTTGAAAATCATATTTT